TAGAGGCATGTCAATTTTAGTGATTTTCTTTTCTTTTTTTCTTGTGATTTTCTTTAAAAACTCGTAATTTCTTTCATTGATTTTACTTTTCTCTGTTCTATTCCATTTCCACTCTGATCTCATTATTTTTTTCCCTCCTGCTTAGTTGAGATTTCATTTGGTATTTTGTTACTAGTGTAAAATAGAAACTGAGATCATTGGTTTGATTTTTCTTTCTTTCTTTTTATTTATATATGACAGTGGAATGCATTACAATTCTTATTACACATGTAGAGCACAATTTTTCATATCTCTGTTTTATACATAGTATATTCACAACAATTCATGTCTTCATACATGTACTTTGGATAATAATGATCTTCACATTCCACCATCATTAATAACCCCATGCCCCCTCTCTTCCCCTCCAACCCCTCTGCCCTATCTAGAGTTTGTCTATTTCTCCCATGCTCTTGCTCTCTATCCCACTATTAATTAGCCTCCTTATATCAAAGAAGATATTTGGCATTTGGTTTTGGGGGAATAAGCATTAACTTCTCTAACTCCATTCATTTACCTTCAAATGCCATGATTTTGTTCTCTTTTATTGCTGAGTAATATTCCATTGTGTATATATGACACATTTTTTAATCCATTCATCTATTGAAGGGCATCTAGGTTGGTTCCACAGTTTAGCTATTGTGAATTGTGCTACAATAACCATTGATGTGGCTGTGTCCCTGTAGTATGCTGTTTTTAAGTCCTTTGGGTATAGTCTGATGAGAGGGATAGCTGGGTCAAATGGTGGTTCCATTCCCAATTTTCTGAAACATTTCCATACTGCTTTCCATATTGGCTGCACCAATTTGCAGTCCCACCAGCAATGTATGAGTGTGCCTTTTTCCCCACATCCTCGCCAACACTTATTGTTGTTTGTATGCAGTCTTTATTTCTAAACAGGTATTTAAAACTATAAATTTCCCCCTAAGTACTGCTTTAGCAGAATCCCACAAATTTTGGTACGATTTGTAAATTTTTTAATTTCCCGTTTGATTCCGTCTTTGATCCATGAATTAGTTAGAACTATGTATTTTAGTTTCAAAACACTGAAGGTTTTCCAGAATCTTATTTTATTGGTCTCTAATTTAATTCTGTTGGGATTAGGGAATGTACACATTTTATTTTACCTATGGTATAAGCTCCAGTATACATTTCTATTATTATTTAAAAGAAAATTGACATTTTAAAGAAATTTAAGTGAAGGAAGTGAATTTTAATTAAATTCAATGGAAATATAAATATTATCATTTGGGGACTTTTTGTGTATATGCCTATTGGGCCATATAAAGTTCCACAGTTTGTTGATCTCTTTCTGTTTTATTACTTTTTTTCTGTTTCATTGTGAAAAATTTTTATTGCTATACTTTTATAATCAGTAAACTTTTTTCCTGCAGTGTCCAACTTATTCATCCAATCCAATATGTTTTTTGACTCTCATATTTTAGCTTTTATCTCGAGTTCTGTTGGGTCTTCTATATTTTTGTAACCTTTTGAAGATAAGGAATATAGTATCTGTTTTAATGCTCTTTTGTGCTAATTTCAACAATCTTATTGCATTATGGATTGTTAAAATTGGTTGATTTTTCTTTTCATTGTGTCTTTGATTTCCAGCCTCCCTGTATCTTTTAATTAGATATCAGAAGTTGTGACTTTACTTTGTTATATACTGGGTACTTTTGCGATCCTATAAATCTTCCTGGAATGCAGTTAAGTTACTTGGAAATAATTTGATGTGTTCATGTCTCATTTTAAGCTTTTCTTTGTGTGTGTGTGGGGGGGGGGCTGGATTTAGAGCTCAATCCTGAGCTAGTTCTTGCCCACTACTAAGGCAATACCTTTCTAGAATTACCACAGGAAGACCTAAGAACTGCTTTCCCGAGTATTCTATCTAGTGCGCTGTAAATTATGACTTTCTTTAGTCCTGCTTATGCACTGTTTACCAATTCTTTCAAATTGTTCTTTCTTCTACCATGAGTAGTTTCCTCACATATATGTCCTTGTTGGTATTCTTGAGTTACTTCTGTATGTAATTCTTTTCTCTCTATTATGGTACTTTGTCACATGAATTTGAGTTGCCTTATTCTTCTAGAACACCGAGCTTTAACTTCTGAAGCCAGAGAGTCTATTAGACTCTGTTTCAGCTTCCATTCTCAGTGCTGTAACCTGTAAATTATCAACAAGGCAATAAACTGGGCAAGAGGAGTAGGGCTCACCTTCATTTCCCCTCTGTTAAGGATGACCAGCTTTCATTGCTTGATGCATGTTTTGAAAATCATTGTTCAATATATTGTCTGATTTTTTTTGTTGTTGTTTCAATGCAGCATAAATCAACTTCAGTTTAATACATTTTGGTTGGAGTCTTGCTGTTTTTGTTGTTTGTTTTGGGGATTTCCCCCCCCCTTCAAATTAATGCTCTGATATAGAACATAAAACAATGTGGTAATATTAGGAAAAATAATTTTGAAAGGTATGTCAAAAAACACTCTACCTACATTTAAGAGTGCTTGTGATTTATAATCTGTAATCATTTACCCTTTAAGTATAATCATTGTATGTATGTACAAAGTCTAGAAGTTTATACAAAAATATTAAATTATTATCTTGGGAGGGTGGTATGATTTAGGGTAACTAATTTTGTTTTTTCTCATTTGAACATGTGTCATAAATAAAAACAAAATATCATTTATAGACCAGTGTAAAGAATTTGAGTGCTAGTCTCTTATTCCATCCTTATTTGAAGACTGACATAACAATATGTTGGAATAGAAGATATATATATATCTAAGTCTTCAAACCCTTTATCTCTTAATTGTATCTTTGTGATACATCATTCAGGTCATTGAAGCTAGATCCTTAAATGTGTCCTACGGAAAGAAGGAAAGTGTATTTAAAACAAGTCATGATAACAGAAAAAAGAACTTCAAGATTATTTTTTTCATTTACTTAAAAATTAGTTTAGTTTTGGGTGACAATATGTATGTATGTAAGAAGAGGATGGTGGGATTGTTTCCTATAGATTAAGTAATAGTCATGCTTTATTTGCATTATTTTGGGAGCATGAAGAGAAAGAAAGAGAAGGTCATTATAACCCTATATCGTGACAAGATTCAGTGCAAATTAAGAGACTGCTTTTTAAGGATAGTTTACTATCGACTTTTTAATTTGTTCAAAATCAAGACTGTTTAATAAAAGATTGGTGATAGATGGTCATGAGATCCAGAATTATTTGGCATTTGGTTTACATATTAAGTTGATTGATATAAAATATCAAAACAGTAAATCAAGATATTATTTGTAATTTTACCTAGTATTCTATGTATATAAAATTTCCAAATGCTAGTGCAAAATGCTATGTTCTTCCTGACCTTGTAGCCTTTTAAGCACTTAATTTGATTTATAATATTAGCATTTGATACTCTGAAATGTCAAACTTTTGGCCTTCAGTGACTGATAGTTGGGACAGTATTTGTATGTCAATGTTATCCATGATATCATACTATGTTACTCTTGTTATGTTACTGTATGTTACTAAGGTAACAGTACAGATTAAAGTTTTTGAACAGTCATTTTTTTCTGTAAAGGAACAATGATATGTTTGTAACTTTTGTATAGTTTGATTTAAAGCCATTTTCCTTTTGTTTTCTTGTTTTCCATATGGTAAGAACATAAAACTGCTTGTGAAGATTTAGAAAGGTGATCTTATCTGAACAATCTTCAACCTTTTTCTTTTGTATTCTGATAAATTGAACTCTAGTTTTTGAGAGCACATTAAAAAATAGTTAAATTTATAGTTAAAAAACAGACCTGGCCTTGCTGAAGAAACTGAGTATTTTTTTTCTTTGTCCTTTCTGTAAATGAAAAACAGGAAGTTAGTACTGGAAAGAAATTTGAAACGTTGATCTTTTCTTTGGTTCTACTTTGGGTAAATGCTCACTTGCCTCTAAAATGATAGGAATTCAGTGTTAGTATAAAAAAGTTTGGGGAAAACATTTGCCACTTTGTTCTGTTCTGTTTGAAAATGTTTGGTTAGAAAAAAAGCTGTATATAGTATTTCATGTATAAATGTAAAATGGTTGCTTGAGTTTCACAAGTCACAGATGTATGCTTTGATCATATAATGGCATTGTTTGTTTTTAATATAGCTTCTGTCTTAAAACTATTTTGTTAACTTAGGAAAAAAATGTTATTCAGACTATGCTGTGTCCAAGTACAAATTTACCCAATGTGAAAACCTGCATATATAAAATTTAACACACTAATTAAAAAACAATGATAGAAAGGAGATCAGTAGAGTAGAGGAAGTAGATCTGGGGAGAAAAGATTGGGAGAGAAAGGAAAGGTACTGAAGAATGAGATTGATCAAATTAGTGCATATACAAACGTGACATAATGAATCCCACTATTATGTATAAATACAGTATACCAATTTAAAAAAAGAAAAATGATGTTCAGTTTAATGTTCAAATGTTCACATTTTTGGAAATTAAAGTTTAGCACTGCTTTTCTTTGATTTAGACTGTATTTTATGTAAATCGATTGATTTTGAAGTATGTAGATAGGCTATTTTGAGATTAGTGTTATATAAAGTTTATTTGGCCAGAAGCATTTTACATACTGTTACTTGCTTTAAAGCTTGGAATAATTATATGCTATATTATTGCAGAATAATAATTTACCCATTCAATAAATGTAATCATTGGAAAATATTCACATTTAAAATTAATATTTAATGAACAACTGATTTCAGTTATATGTTTCTGAAATATTTGTAAAACCTTTTTTTCACAATGGGTTATATTAAAACAAGTTGTTTTATTTACATATTTAGGCTAAAATTATTCAAAGGAAGTTTCCTAAGAATGAGATTTTTTGTTTCATAGTAAGAAGATATAAAATTAAAATTTAGTGGACCAGTCATAGCCTTATTCTTTAATTCATGCTTAATAAAATTTCTCTTTCAGACAGCAAATGGCTACATCTTATTTTTTCATGTTATATCTTCAAGAGGCGACAAGTACCTTTATGAACCAGTATATCCCAAGTAAGTTTGTTGGCTTTTATTTTTTTAATATAAATCTGCATACTTTATATTCACAGAAACATTAAAGTTTTGGATTGTCTGAAGTTATTAAAATAAAGATAAGCCAGCATTTCCAAAATAGCATTTCAGAAATTACCAGGTCTTTGAACCATAATTTCTTGATTAAAGAATTCTGTAATTAAATAAGTTTGGGAATCATTAGGAATGTATTGTATCCTTTATAGCCATTCATAATTACTATTAATATACTCCAGATCTGACATTCTGCAGTCTTTATTAGAGAGGAGCTAAGAAATCCTGAGTGGAAGAGGTGAAATATGACTATGTTATAAGTACTTTTGCCTGTATTTTTGTATATGCATAGATTTAAAAAAAAAGAAGAAAAAACAAATGTCTAGGGTTCTTTTTTAACTCTTGATTAAAATTTGAGGGAACATGAACTTTTGCTCTTTGTGTAGTTATGTATATTTTGTGTTTTTTCCTCCATAGCATGCCTTATTTTCAAAATAAAAGGATGTATAGGTTTAAAGCTTGACATCGTTTTTAAAAGATCAAGTTTTGGAGCTAAATATAAAATATTATTTATCATGTTTCTAGATAATAGAAAACATCCAAAATTTAATAGGTATGTAAGGAATTAATGAGAAAAATAGATTTTACTATTTGAAAAGTTTAAATTTCTGAAAATTAACAACAAAATTAAAACATTAAAAATCAAATAACAAACTTGGGGAAAATATTTTTAGTAAATAGGGCCTCAGCTTATTACTTTTAATAAAGGAATCATATAAATTGTCAATAAATACAGTCTATAATTGATAAAACAGTCTCAAAAAGAGGAAATGCAGTTACTATAAACAGAAGAGAAACTGTTCAAGCTTAAGATTATTCAAATAAAATATCAATTTCAACAATTTTTTAAAAAGAAACTCAAATTTTAATATAAAAAAAATGTTTGCTGAATTATTGTTCCACTAGCAGAGGTATAGTAAATGTTGTGTTGCTCACTTTTGATAGATGTTATATACCAAAGTGTGATAATAGCAGGTTAACTGTAGTACATCCTTCTCAATGATGTAGTCATTAAATATAAAGTCTCAGAAAATTTTGTGTACTCAAAAACCTGATCATATTAAAATAAATAAAGCATACACAAAATTACATGTATAATATTACCATAGCTATTTAAAACAAAACAATAAGAATCATATAAAAAATCCAGAACAATATAATACAAATTTTTATAGTATTTTGCCCCTAAGTGATAGAACTGTAATATAAATCTTTCTCTTTTTTTTTTTTTTTAATGGTTTTGGGCATTGAAACCAGGGCCTTGTGCATGTGAGGCAAAACACACTCTACCAACTGAGCTATATTTCTAGCCCTGTAATACAGCTCTTTATAGTATTTTGCTCCTAAATGGTAGAACCAGAATGATTTTTCTGCTTTCAATTCTAAATTTTTTTTAACATTTTTAAAATATGGAAATTGTATTTAATTTTGTTAAATTGGATTTGCAAAATCCCAAAGGAAAAGAAACCCATGATTTCCCAAGAAAATGGTACCATGGAAGTTTTTAATTTCTGTTTAAGAAACCTTTGTTTCTTAAACTAGGTCATTTAGAATATAGGTCAGATTCTTTTATCATAGATTCTAGAGAACTATCTAGACTTGCCTAATGGAAGAGCCACTTCTTTTTGTGACAAATATAGTGTTAAAGTATTAGCTGAGTTTTGGAAAACTTTTGTTAAGTACAGGAAAATTTTAATGATTTGGTTGTTTTTCAATATAAAACTTTAAATGAAGAAACCCTTTCAATATTGCTTATGGTATACTTATATACCATAATGGGCATTATGGTATATTTATAACTTTTATATTCTTTTAAAAAAATATTTATTTTTTAGCTGCAATTGGACACAATATCTTTATTTAATTTTTATGTGGTACTGAGGATCGAACCCAGGGCTTTGCACATGCTAGGCAAGTGCTCTACTGCTGAGCTACAACCCCAGCCCTTATATTCAGTTTTGTGAATATTAATAAAACTAAATTTTTTTATTCTAAGTGATAAATTTGTGAAATACTCTTGTAATCAATGTCTAAAATTTTATTGTGTATTTTGAACTATTGTGTCTGACTTCTTTTTTGGGCTTGATTCAGACGTGTTCCTGTAAATAAAAAGCAATAATCACAGTCAACTGAATTTAACTTGATCAGTCTATACAACTGTGGGCAGAGTACAGAAATAACTTCTCTTGAGATAGTAAAAAGACTCTTTTCTTTATCAGAATAGTACTTTTGAGACCCACTTTTTGTATCACAGAATTTTAAAAAATAGTGTCTTACCTTTTGATTCCAAAACTACACAAGATGCCTCTTAACTGAATCCTGACAATGCATAATCTTTGCTGTGCTTGACTATGTGTGTTGGGGTAGAGAATTAAATAAAGAATATTATTCTGTTTTCAGTTTGGACATTATTTCCTTATATTGAATATTTGGAGTTTTAATACCTGGGCTCAATAAAATGTTCTTAGAACAGCACGAATCTTGGTTTAAGAGATAAGCTTTGGTGGCAGATAGACCTGGAATTGAACATCAGCTTTACCATACCTGATGTATGATTTTTTTCAAGTTTTTAATACTGCCCCAAACGGTTTCATTTGTAGAATGGGATAACAGTACAAACCATTTCATAGAATTAAATGAGATCATTTATATTTAATGCTTTGATAAATACCTGGCTTAGGAGAAAATTAACAACGGACAACTGCTGTAATCACTAATGTATTTTTCTTTCACAAAATTTTTACTTCATTTTTAAGATTTTAAGTGATTAAAATATATATACATATAAGTAATTTGTTGATGCTGTGCCTCTCTGCCAACATATAACTTCTAGTAACTGCTACATAAAATCAAATAATATCTCATATACAAAACAATTTTGTAGGATAGTCAGTCTGTTACAGATTTGTGCATTGAACTACTTTTAGGTTAGGTTAGTTTAATAAGGTCCCCCCCGCCCCCACAGAAGTCATTTGTAAAATGGAAATAAAAATATCTTAAATTGTTAGATGTTCATATATTTAAAACCTGAAAAATAGTGGTTATATAAGTAAAAAAAAAAGTTTGATTTTGACAATATCACTTGTACCATTGTAAACAATTATGTAGTTCACAGACACTGTTGTAAGTACTTTCACTACTCATTTAATTTCTGTAGTAACCCAGAGAAGTAATTAGGTACAACTAGTATACAAACTATTACACAGAGAGGCCAGGTGACTCATCATAGTTGTATTCTTAAGTGGCACAGCCAAATCAGATATAAGTGTTATAGCTCCAGAGTTTGTGCTTTTAATCATTACTACTATACTGCCCCAACCTTGTTGTGCCCTATCTAGCCATCTACTAGGACTTACTGGGGGAATAGGGATAGAAAAAAGGAAAAATGATCTGGAGTGCTTTATAATGGTCCTGAAGAACAGAGGTAGCATAGTTAAGACCAATAGTTAATTGTCTTCTCAATTATAGAAATGCTGTTATCTCTTATTTCACTTCTCTAAATCTTAGCAGTATATCACATGATTTTTTTCTAGAGGATCTCAGCTTTCCTGTATTATATGAGAGCATCTTAACCTCAGGCTGCATATTATTCTCATTGTGTTCCATCTGAGAACACAGGTCAAATACCTCTTTGATCTTTCATAGTTTCCACCTATAGTAGTTGCTAGCATCCTTGTAGATACAGGGAGTCAATCTTTAAAAGTGATGGCAGTTTTATTAAATGACTCTACCTCAAAGATCACTCATTTATAATAACATTTTCTATTTCTTTGTCTTTCGTATCTTGACAGATTGCATTCTGTATAAAATATGTCTTCATACTACAAACCAGTGTGCAGGCTGGTTGAAGCTTGTCTTTTTTTTTTTAATTTCATGTTTTAGAATATGTAGTGAAATTAATGAAAGAAACTGCCAGGGATAAATCAGAAAAAAAAATGTTTTTAGATGGGAATGTGTTCACGTACTTGTATTTAAATGAGTTCAGTCAATCTTGAAATTGCTAATTATATTTCTTCATGATGAAAATAATTTCAGGGCTTGGGATTGTGGCTCAGCAGTAGAGCGCTCGCCTAGCATGGGCGGGACCTGGGTTTGATCCTCAACACCACATAAAAATAAAGGTATTGTGTTGTGTTCATCTGAACTTAAAAAATAAAAACGTATTTTTTAGAAAAAAGAAAAAAATTTCAGCAAATATATTATAATGTATATTTTGTTGAGAGCAGAGAACCTCCACACTTCTCTCACTTCTGTCTCTCCACCAGTACCATTAAGCTCTCTCTCTCTTCTTTTTTTTTTTTTTTTGTTAAGAGACAAGTCTTATTGAGGCCCAATTACAGGAGCTGGTGTTGTAGTTCAGTGGTAGAGTGCTTGTCTAGCATCAGTTAGGCTCTAGCTTCAATCCCCAGCACCACTGAAAAGAAAAAAAATTACAAAAATTGAGTGTACTTAATTTCAAATATCTAAGTTATAGATCATCATCTTCTTCATAGAAAAAAAATAATCCCTCCAAACAAAAGAACAAATCTCCCTCTCCTTTACTCCTTTCCTCCCCAACATAGTTTATCTTACAAGCTCTCTGTTAATGAATTAGTACTGACTAGAAAGGAAGAAGAGACTGACTGAGGCTATAATTTCTGATTTCAATAGTTTATCTCCAAAAATCCACTTTTTTTTTTTTAGGAAAATCCTATATCATAGGTCATAAGCATCTGCTGAATCACATCAAATGTATAGGAGAAAAGACGTCTGAATTAGTCATAGAATGAACGTTTCCCTCAACATATATTTAGTTGTGCATTGCTTAAGAACAGGATAGTTCTGAGAAATGCATCCTTAGGTGATTTCATCCTTGTGTGAACATCATAGAGTGTACTTATACAGATCTAGATGTTATAGCCTATTATAGATGTTTAGAGCTTTTGTAT